TTGTGTTTTCTATGTTCTTTAAATGAAATGATCCTGTTCTTGTATATAATCTCAATTTGACACAAGAAGGTATCAATATCGTGTCACTTCTACCATTTTCAACAGACTTTCCATCATGTAATTTTTAGCTACATGACTATATGAAGTATCATGTAACTGAACGAACAGATAAAAAAAAAAAACATTGACTCGTGGGGTTTTCAAGATAGTTAAAATAAAATGAAAAATATCTCTCTTTTTTTAATGTAATCAGAAGTTTTGATTTAACCACAATGATATAGATCATATTTGTAAATAGTTCAAGGTTTTTGTCATCATTGAAAAAGATAAGTCAACAATAATGCATATATATATTTTTTTTTTGATACTCATATTACAAAGTAATGTTTAAGTATGATCTTAAAGAAGTCAAATGTAGCAGGATATATCCAATAGAGAAATCGAACCATATTATTAGTTCTATTGACATAATGACTCAAATTTCAAATTAAACTCTTGTTATTGAACATGTCAAATAATGAATCCATACAAAAACATGTGTATTTTATTCTACATACCTCCAGCAATATTACTTTCGAATAAAATAAATAATAATAGAAATAATAGTGGATTCATCTGTTTTGAAAATAAGATGAAATCTAAAATGAAATAAAAACAATCGATAAAGGCAAGTCATTCTATCGTAATACAATTCGATTCTCTAAGAATAATACATACTAAAAAACAGTTCAATAGGATAATAACATTTTTAATCAGTATAGAAAAATCATGATAAAAAGAAGATGACAATCAATACAAATATATACTATACTTTGGATATGTACTCACATAATCTCTTATCAGTTATATCTCATGATAGAAAGAATATGCAATGAGTAGAACGCTTATAATCTTATGCCTGCTTACAATATCTTGACATTTTATACCAGTACAGATAATTGTCTGTGTATACAGTCATCAGATTAAAGGATATTCCATAATCAGAGTTTCTTTTCTCTTTGGTTCACTTGAAATGTTCTGTTAATGAATCAAAATGTACTTTTTTTTTTCTTTTTCTTTTTTTGTATCTTATTCAAATCAAAGTAAGTTAAATAGGACAGCAAACGTGTGCATTTGTCAAGCATATAATCTTGAATCAATAGATTCATTCATCATCATTATTCGTTCGTACAGTATTCATGGTTCAGTTATACGAATACACATGGCAAAAAAAAGACAAAAAAAATCAACGAGTATTTTGTATATTTATTTGAACATCTATTGATTTAGAATTAATAGAAAAAGAAACTTCTGAAGTAATAATTTACATCAAATTAACACTTAAAACCAAAAAAGGTACAAATACATACATGTTTTTTTTTTTTGCTATTTACCAACAAACCTATTAAAGTTTATCAAAACAACATATGAAACATGAGAAAAAAATTATCTATTGCATATGTCGGCAAAAAAATAATTGTTGATAAGAATAAACCTTCTATTATCAATCGCTCAAATTCTTGTTCAATATCGAGGCAAAAGGAAATCAACTTACTTGATGTCAATTATTAGTTTGCTCTTTTTCTCTTACTTGTCGATTTTTAGTGATTGTCCGCTTGTCAGATCAACTCTCTCCGTGTGAAATCGGTTTATTCAGTAAACCTACATTGTGTTGATGATAATAACGATAATAATCATCGACCGAGTTTATGTATATGTATATATATATGCGTGTGTATAACACTGTAAGAGGAGAAGAAGAACAAGTGGACACATGATGACGCGAAATCGTAGTTATGAACAGCGAGAGAAAAAAATACGGAAGAAATTGAAAGAAAAATAGTTATACAGTAGCAATAATCAATCAGAAGAGAGAGAGAGAGAGAGAAAAAAAACACGAAGGAAAGTGACAGACGAGTACATTATTCATAAAATAGACAAAACGAGATCTAAACTACAATCATGAGAAGTGCCAATCAACAAACTCAATCGAACTATAAGTAGAAATAGCATTTGCATAATTTCAATCATCTAATAAATATGATGATGAATCACTTAGAATAAAAATGAACACATGTTGAAGATCAAATTTTTAATTTCATTGTCTTTGCAGTTTCTTTCACACATATGGAAATAGTTCATGCATACTTATCAAACTTCATCAAAGCAGTGAAAAAAGAAATATTATTGTCAATTTACAATGAATGACGAAAGGAAATCGTCGTTTATTCATCTACGCATAAACATCTATTATTCAATGAAAGAACGAGATGCATGTCTAAGTAGTATTTATGAATAAATGTTTTTTTTTTTTTGTATTATTTTCAAATAGATAATTAACTACGATCATTAATAATCGGAAATTAAAATATATGTAATATTTATTCATATTGCAGGTACAAAATCACGAGTATCTGTGAATTATGATCGTTGTGACTTTATATACATTGACATTCCATTTGACACGTTTTATTTAGTTTTCTTCTTTAAGAATTCTCACATTTTTTAAAATTACATCATATGTTATTTGTCAGCTACCGTTTTTTTTTTTCTTCTGCTTCTTTAATCATTATTATTATTATTATTATCATTCATCGACAACGACTAATCCATTTTTACATCATTTTAAGATGACGTGTTGAAATACGAGTTGCTTTCATCTTTTCAAATGCTTAGTGTTAGCCTAATAACTTGGGCAAACATTAATATAATACTCTTTCGTTAAGTGTTACTATTCAATCACCATATGATTATAGAGAACGATGGAAATATCAACAAGAATAGCAGAACAAAAAAAAAAAAGAAATTTGCTATTATTTTTTCAAGTGCTTATTGTTTAAGTTAAGACTGGCGTCATATCCATGTATAAACTGTTAAGAAAACAACAGAAAAGATAATCATTCGGCTATTTTAAGATAAACAAATTTATACTCAAATGCAAATGAACAATAGCGATAATGAATGGATGAACAGACGGAAGCTAAATGGACAAACAATGTAGATATAGAAACTCGTAAGAAAAATGAAGGGCGTCATTCGACCTTTTCTTGTTTCATCAGTATATGATTGAATGAAACAATCAAAACATGTGAAAAAGAAAATTGGAATTTGTAATCATTTTAAGAAAATCTAATTTTATTTTTCAATGATCATCTTACAAAACGATGCAACTAACGATAAGAGCTTTGTATGTAATTTCTATTTGATAGCATTTGTATACATTAATATAATACGTTAGATTTGAAAAAAAAAACAATGATTCATTCTTAGTTTTGTTTTAATCTTTTCATTTTTGAATAACTAATAGCAGCCATATTAACATGTAGAATGTTCAGCAAAACATATACTCAAAAGTCCTCTTTTCATGAAGGGTGATACTAGATCCATGTTTTTGATTGCGTTAGTTTCAATGTCTGGATCAGTATTGATATTGATGTCATGCATACTAGATTAAATTAACCGAAAATATTGTGAACTGTTCACCATAACATTCATATGATTCATCTGTAATTTTTTAGTGTAACAAGAGCAATTTCTTTCTATTGAAACCGTTTGTAAATGGATGAAAATATGCCTAGAATGCTTTGCTTTCTCTAGAGTAAATTACTTAGAGAATCGATAAGAAACTTTACCAATGAATATTAGTTTTGTATTTTCCAATAGTAAATATCGACTCTTTTGACAAGATTGACCATAATAATACTGGGTTAAATTGAAAGCTCTCACAACAAAGAGAAAATGTTTTCTAGATTGCATTGTTAACTAGTAGAAAAATAAACACTGATAACATGCATTAATTATAGAGGACCCGTCATATAGATACAAAAAATATATTTAGTATATTAACATTGAAATACTTTTGTTTCGAAAGGCTTTTACACTGCTTCGTATGTTTCTGCGTTTTGATTAGTCTCTTTTTGAGAGAATATGTCAAAATAGGTTCATCAACAAGTCATTGGTTTTCGAACAAATACCAACAGATGATTGACCTTGATGCACTACTTAGGTAGATAACGACTGCAAAAACAACGGTTTTACGCATTACAAAGTATTTTGCCGAATAAAAGACGAAATCCATGAATGTCTTCGTCATGTCTGTTTGTGTCATAATAGCAAAACTATGATTAGGACCTCATCTACATATCCGACATCTAAAGGAGATAATATGGCCTTTTAATTTCTTGCTGAGAAACTTCGTATTCTTAACTGTAACATCAGTGGCTGTTTAAAGTTTGACAATTGATTGGAAACCTAAATATTTTATGATGGTAGTTATAGCTTCAGAAACGACTGTCTATCATATTCTTCCTTTATTTTCGCCTATACGAATAGGACGCTGCAACTTGTTTTAATACTACTCAGTTTAAGATAAAACATATCAGTTCTGTCCTTTTTTTATATTTCATGACTTTTTTCATTGCTTCAAAATTTCTGACGAATAGTGCGTAAGGACATTGCTAAACAAATATAATTTAGTTATATTTATTGAAAACATCAGATACGATGTGAAAGTTGAAATAGAATTTATTCAAAAACATTAGCTGTTTAGTAATGTTTTCTTACAGGTGGATATCAGATTATTGCATTCTTTTATTTTATGACACTCAGTAGAGACGTTTGGCATTGACTCATACAATAGTAAATCTTTCCTACTATATAATTATGTTATGATGACTCATTATATCACTTATACAATGCTGAATCACTTAAGTAAACCTGCAGAATATAAAGTCTTATCTGTAATTTATTCGTGTAGCTTATAAAAATCACACAGTGAATACAAAAAAACATAAATTCTTTGCTGTTGTGTCTCGAGCATTAATAGATAAGGATAATATTTTCGTTATAAGCAACTATCGTTGAAGTAAAATCTATCTTCATTTTGTAAACTAAATTCACTAATTGCATTATTTCAAGTTGTCATTTTGATGTTTTTTTTGTTATTTAGAAAGGTGAAATAAATTCAACGTTCAACAACTATTTTCAATTTAATTGATTTCGTAAATACTCAACGGATTAAAATGACAACAATGAGCGAAGATCATCAACAATCATTTGCATATAATAATCGTCAATCATGTCCATGGCGTTTAATAAGCAATGGTTTAAATATCGAGGGTCTTTGTGAAAATTCTCATTGTCCAGCTTATAAACAAATGGTGATTATTAATTTAGGCTTTGGTGAATTTGATTTTGCACGCATTATTCTTGAACGAAAAAATCGATGTCCAATATGTAAAACAAAAATTATTCCATTTAAATATGCATTAAATAATTGTCGATGGTGGTATGTTAATCATTATAGTACATGTACTTTTCCTTTACATATAGTTAAAGATACATATGCGTTACATAATTTGAATTGTGAATATAAAATTATGGAAACTATGCCACTTCCAAAAAATTATCGAATTTATAAAGAATCACAAGTAATAGAATGTCCAATTTGTTTAATGAATATTGAAGATGATAATGAAAGAATTTATCTTCCTTGTTCACATACTTTTCATCGCAGATGTATATATGAATGGTTAAAATCAAATGAATTTATGGCACATACATGTCCTATATGTAGAGAACATATTGTTGAAATATATTAATTGTATTGAAAATTATAAAATGTTATTTTACTATGAAGATTTATATTTCATAAAGTCAGATAAATTATTTTTACATGTAATATAGGTTCAAACAATTTAATACATATTTTAAATCTGATAATAATTCAAACGATTAAAAACATAATGATGTTGATGAAACCAAGAATTTTATTATTCATGAATTGTTAGAACAATCAAGAAAGTCTTTAAGTAATAATAATAGCATTTTTTTTGTAGTTTCATAATTTTGATATTTGACTCTTAAATATCTAGATTGTTGCTTGTTCTATTTCTTTTCTTATTTTTTTGTATTCATGCTGCTAAATAGATGGTTACGAAACTATTGTATGACTTTTTGTAGTTATTTGTTTTGGACAATGTAATATTTTTCTATTCGAAGATTTTCATATTTATGAAAATTAAAATTCCTTAGTCCGAGGTAGATATCCAATGAGAATGTAACACTAACATTGGTAATAGTGAATGTTAAAGAACAGAATCTATATCCAAAGATATTTTTTTCTTCTATTTCAATTTCCTAAAAAATATAATTATCTGTATGCTTATTGATCTTGACATTTCATAGTTATATTAGAAAAAATAATAAAGTGAATTTTGAAGTAGAAACAAAAAAATTTCTTTCATTTTATTTTTTTTCGTATTTTATTCATTTAAAATAAATTTATCGAATATGTCAACCATTTTCTGATGTTAAATATCAATCATTATCTGCATGTTGTTAAACAATTATAAATGCATCACTTAAATACATCAAAAATACTGAAAATAAAATAACAATAACTTAAACCAAGGGTGCGAGTGGATCGCAGTGGGCATGTAAGAAACGATGACACACCCAGATCCTACCTTTTAAATTTCTTCGATCAAACGATGTATCATTCGTGTTCCTTTTATGGCGACCTATGTTTGCTTGATAATTTTTGTGAGCCTTGTCAAATGCATCGACTATAGTGAAATGCAGTAGATTTTTCAAATGTGGCTTCCAGTCTTAACTAGTATCGTTGAAAATATTCTTTTAGCAACTTAACGTATTAGGTAACTTTTCAACTTCTAGACTACGACTAAGAATGCTGATAATATTGGAACACGTCTTAACTAATGACCTTTCACTGTCATAACATCAATATGGACATGAACTTTGTAATGGTTTTTGACGACTAATTAGTTTAAGTGTTGATGAAGATATAGTATAAATAAAATTTTATTTGAATCTATTCTTAGAATGATTCCGTAGGCACAAAACTTAAGCTAGTTGATTTGCCGTGTGTATCTCTAGTTTGTGCGTGGCTTACTCTTCCGGCATTGAGTGTTTGGTTAAATGTTTCTAAATTTTGCTCAATTAAATTTTTGTAAACTACTGAAGAACCATGTGATTAAAACTTCTTTCTAAAAGGTACTTGAAAATTTGTATGCTGCTACTGTTTGCTCTCGAAGACAGTTTGAAATATCGAGAAGGATTTTTTTATTGTTGTGTACGTGCTGCAAAGAATTTGATTCATTCGGGTGACGTCAATGCAACGTTTGCATAATACGCACGAAGGTTTTTAATCACTTCTCTGTAAGTATCTTCAATCGATTTTTTGGTCCAAAAAGAGAAATAACTGTATTCAACTGTTACATACTAATTGCTGTTATTAGCAAATTTCATTTCTTAGTAGTGCGATCGATGACATGTCTGACGTTAATTTAACTATTACAATAGAGTTTTTCAATCATATCGATCATAGGAAGTTGGATTTATTGCGTGAAAACGATATGAAGTGTATCGTATTATTTATTCAAGAGTAGCACAATCGAACATAATCTGTTTCTCACTCTCATGGCCAAATTACGACGCATTAAAATTTCGTTTGAGCAAGGACAAAAGAAGGTGAATTGTGAGTTTATTGAAATCTGAGACAAGCGAATAGTAAGATAATATATTTGTTAGATGACAAAAAAAGAACGAAAAAATCACTATCACAGGAAACATATGATGTATATGTTTGAATGTATTAATGGCACATGAGAACATACTAACGAAAAAAAAAGAAAAAAATCTAGTGAATGAAAAAAAACAGAATTAAAAAATATTCTTATATCATAAACTAGTGATCAGGAGAAATCACTAAAATCAACTGTTACCAAATCACTATCATTTTATATAAGTTTGACAAACAACAAAGACAATATACAAGCCACGAATTATATAACTTTGAATAAAGAATACATATTATTTTTCTTTTTAAAGTTTTATACAAATAATAATCAATAATCTATTAGTTTCACCAAGCAATTTTTGCAAGAAAACTATTTGGAAATTTTCTTATAAGGTATTTTCTTAATTCATCAATTATTAACCATAGCATACCAAACCCTAATGTTGGCATTACATATTTTATTGGTACTGATGCCGTATGAAAAACTCGATTAAACCATTGAACTTTTGTTATAAGAATTTGAATACCAACCGATATACTCATAGCACCAAATACATACCAATTTCGACCTTTACCCCAAAATGGATTATGTTCAAGAATCGAAGCATATCTTGTACGTGTTGCAAAGTAATTAAAAAATTGAAATAAACAAAGTGAACAATAATATATTGATTGAGAAACACATATCATATAAGTCAATTGTTCTATGGAATATGGAGTACTAGGATCAATACCAAATTTCTCATAAGTAAACATAAATGAGTAGAATGGAACACCATTATCAATCCAATAATAACAAAAACAAAAAAAACCTGTAAAACATTCTAAATTACCTACAAACATGTAAGCATGAAGAAGTAATTTCCAATTTAATAAATGATCTTTTGAACGTATTGAAGGTGGACGTGACATAATATCACATTCTGGTTTTTCTGCTACAATAGCAAGTGACATAAAAACATCTGCAAAGAAGAATTGAATCAAGCAATAAAATAAATCTTTGAAACATACCATTAAGCATGCAAAATACTGTCGCATAGAAAGCAGGTAAAGCCAAAGGCATACCAAACCATAAACTGAAAAAGACTGGCCAAATTTGTGACCAACTGCCTAGAAGAAATAACGAAGTGAAAACTGAATTTAAGCAGATAGTGTAAGGTCCTCATTAGAAAACTCGTTTTTTTCTGGGTAAGTTTATGTGTGAATTTTTTCTTCATGCTTAGACCTTCATGACAGAGTGACTATGGCGTTCGACATGAATTTACAAGGTACTGCGATCAAATCTTGGTATCACCAGCCATAGAATGGTCCTAGAAAAGTCACTAACAATTGTTTTTTTAGAACACCCGTCAGATAGCATGCTAATTACGTTGTGATATATATCTGCTCTTGTACTGGTACATGCTTAGATAGTGTGTATAAGAATCTGAAACAATTGAAAGCAAGAACCCAGTGTCAGACTAGCCTTCTGTTCTGAGCGATAACTAGTACTAGTTGTAGGAAAGATATTGAGTCACAGAATCTGTTGCTGGGCAGCAAGTCCATACCGAAAAGTAGCCGAAAGGCGAAAGTATTCTTCCTTCTTTTTATCCGTATCCACACTCTCATGGCAGATGTTTTATATCAAATAAAATAAAATGAAATGTCATATTTCTCATGACTTACTAGTAAAAACTGACTATCATTATCACTCTTTACAAAAGATGTTAGCAAATAAGTTACTTTCAAAAATTAACTTGTTATTTCTTTGTCTATATTACATTGTTAGATGCTATAATAAATATAACAGCAATGATAGTTAGTATTGTTTATCGTGATACATCTACTATAAGGGTAATCTAATGTATATGAATATGTAGTTCGATTGACCCATAATATAGTTGTGCTAAGCCTCCATTTTAAGTATTAATATGAAGACTAAAGGAAAGAAAAACTTCTTTTCTGTTTTTCTCAATATGGATGTTTTTCCATAATAATTGCAATGTGAAAAAATTGTCGTTGTCAATTATACTTCACTCTGAAGAGCTGTATTTTTTTTAATCAATAGATACATGTATAGTCCTGCAGATAAGAAAAAGGAATTTTATAATTAACCGTTCATGCCAGATAAACCGTGGGTTTCTCAACATTTTGAAACTTTTATAATCGAAAAAATGTAACAGAGTGAAAGTTTAAAAACATTCTTTTCGACTTCTATGAACCAAACATCGATGTAAAATTCCATTAATATTTCGTATACTCTGTTGAATTTAGATTTTTAACGAAAGCTCTCTTAACTAAGTTACCTGCGGGTAAAAGATAAATGGCAACTTTCTTCAAATTATCACTTAATAATCGACCTGCTTCAATAGAACGAATAATCGATGCAAAATTGTTATCTAATAATATCATATCACCAGCTTCTTTTGATACTTCTGTACCTGATTGCATGGCGACACCAAGATTAGCACATTTCAAAGCAGGTGCATCATTTGTACCATCACCTGTTACAGCAACAATTTCAGCACGTCGTTGAAATTCTGTTACTATACGTAATTTTTGTTCAGGTGATATTCGTGCAAAAACAAGTTCTTGATGTGATAATACCCAATTCCACATAAAATCATCCATGTAATTTATGTCAGCACCGGTAACAATAACAGCATATGGAATATATTCTTTTTCATTTGTTGAGTGAATTTTTTTTTCTGATTTTTTAAATAGATTTCGAAGTGATAACCATACACTTTTATACCATGGTTTTTCTTGTGGTGCGTGATATTCATCAACTTTGATTGAAGTTTGTTTTATCAATTGTTTAGTGTTTCCTAACTGTAAATCATCTTTATTCTTTGTATATGGTTCATGTTGTTCCATGAATTTATCATTTCGATAAAGATTAAGAACAAATTTTTCATTGTCTTTTTTTTCTGCTGTAAATGTATCAATACCATTCGTATCAGCAATATCAGATGTAAGGATATGTACTTGTTTTGCGATAGCTTTTGCTGTTGTTGGATGATCACCAGTAATCATAGCTATACGAATTTGTGCTTGTCGTGCTTTTAAAACAGCATCAGGCACTTCGGGTCGTGGTGGATCCAGTAATGAGAAAAGACCAATGAAACAATAGCCATTTGATGGGAATCCACTTAGATCTTCATCTCCATCGGATACTGATGAATCTTCTCTCTCGTTATATTTCTTCATCATATCATCATATTGTTGATGAGAAATTTTTTGTTGACACATAGCTATAACACGATAACCATTTTTACCTAATTCTTCTTGTCGAGTGGCTAATACATTTTTCACTTTAGCATCTAGTGGCAAAATTTCGTCATTGTTCGTTTTATACGTTGAACATCGTTGAATAACAATATCGGGTGCACCTTTCAAAATTATTAAAACAGTACGATATTTTGCTGATATTGAAGGATCTGGTGTTTCAAGTTGATTAGCGGAGATCATAAATTTATTTCTTGAATTAAACGGTAACACTTTCAAGCGTGGATTGACAGTTCGTACCCTTTTTATATCAACAGAACATTGATCAACACAAAGATGATAGAGAGCCGTATCAGCTGCATCACCCACAAGTTTTAATTTCGTTTTCGTTTCGACTTTATCATGATCGAGGTCAACATCGTTTATTATTTCTTTGTCGGCATTATTACAAAGTGCTGCACCAAGTAAAAGATCACGAAGTGCTTGTATCCGAATTTCACTTGGTTCATCAGATGCATCAGATTTTCCAGATTCGTTGTCTACCAAAGGTATATGCTCAGATTCATCACGGTCATTGGATGATACCCTTCGTGCTATTCTATGCGCACTATCAGAGAGACGACGAGCTATTTCGATCGCATCTAATGAAAGAGCACGAATCCTATGAAAGAAAGTCGTTTCTGCTTCTGGTTTTCGTTGAGGCATAGGAACATTATAAACACAATCAATATCCCATAATAAATTAGTTACAGTCATTTTATTTTGTGTCAGTGTTCCTGTTTTATCGGTAGCAATTACAGATACTGAATTGAATGTTTCGACAATTTGTAAACTTTTGACTAAAACATGTTGTCGATACATTTGTTTGGCAACGATGGTCAATACTAAACAAACGAAAACAAATAGAATATACAATATAAACTAAATAGTCTCATTTCATATGGACAGTTCTCTACTGAACTTCATTTCAACTTATATTTCGAGACATTTCAAAATACCGATGTAGGTGTAAAGGTGGGTGAAGTATGGACGTGTGAAGAAAGTGAATCCGTAAAGTGTCAATATGGATCTTTTCTTCATCTAAACCTACATTCACACTCTGGTGAGCAATACTCCTAGTGAACAAGTGTCCTGATGAGCAGCTATCCTGCCAGCAAAGGCCCGATTCTCATATTTAGACTTATGCTAGTTTAGTGAGTATATTTTCTAGTCTTTCACGTTCGGCTCATGTAGCCTCAAAACTGAGTGTCTATCGATTAGTATTAGTATGAATTTTTAACATCAATTAGGACTGTTATCAAATCTATTCGGAATAATCTGTTTTGAATATTGACATTTTTCTTCACTTAACGAATTATATATGATAAAAATGAATTTAATATCTTTACCTAATGTAACTGCCGATGGCAATCCCATTGGTAAGAAAGCAACAATCAAACCAACGGTATTAACAATATTGTCATTGTAAGAAATAAAACCAGGATGATGATGTTTTAACCATTCTCCCCATGTTATCCATAAGACAGCTATACCCGTTAATGTAGCAAGTACAACAAATAAAACAAAACGATTCACTTCACGATGTAAACCAGTTATTTCATCTCCTGTACTTTTGCGAGTTAATTTTGACATTTTACCTAATACAGTATTGTCACCTGTAGCAATAACAACTGCTTCACTTGCTCCTTGTTCGACCATTGATGAATAAAATCCAATATTTTTTGTTTCCATAAAATTGACACTAGTACATTGAACTGTA